ATAATGGTTCACCTTGTGTCTTCTAGGGTTTATAATGGTTCACCTTGTGTCTTCTAGGGTTTATAATGGTTCACCTTGTGTCTTCTAGGGTTTATGATGGTTCACCTTGTGTCTTCTAGGGTTTATAATGATGTACTGTGTGTTCTTTCACCCCCCCCCCTCCCCCCAAGGTTTGCTGGAGGACTGTTTCACCATTCTGTCACAAGACATTGACGTCAAGCTGCTGGTGAGTTCTTGGGTCTCTTTCTGTCTGTTTTTCCCCTCTTTACGTATATAGTCAAAAATTGCCGGCGTCTGTGGTGTAGCTGTTAGCTCTTCCGTCGCACACAGGAGACCTGACTTCGCTTCCCAAATTTAGTTCAGTTTTGGTAGAGGTTTTACAGCGCTCACAACTGCATAAGGTCATATGAGCGCCAAGGGGTGGATGTCAACAGAGAAGTCTTTACAGGGAATCAGACTTACTCTGCTCACCTCTTTAGCCTCAACAGCAGAAAGTCTGCTTCGACTATCAAGGCACCCGGAAATAACAGTTCGCAAGAGTGTGACAAACATACTAAAGAAGTAGAGGGAAAATGACTATAGTAAGGATTAGGGAAAAAAGCAGCTGTTCCCCCTATGTTGTTTCGGCACAGTACGAGCAGGACATTGATGAATCAGCCTATTTACAATTCCACTGTGAGAATGGCCTAACAACACTTCAGTCAGTAGCACTGCCCTCGGGGGGGGGGTTAGCTCTTGTATCTCTTTCTGTCATGCTTTTTTCCCTCAGTACTTATTACTTATACAGCCAAAATTTCCAGCGTCTGTGGTATAGCAGTTGGCTTCTCTGTCTCGCACAAGAGACGAGTTCTCTTCCCACGAAAGGAGAAAAGTGGTTGTCTTGGTCAGTTGGACATCTGGGACAGTGTCATTATATGTGATGCAGCGTGGTGGAATCAGGCTCTCGTCAATTTTTTTGGGCATGTAGAGTTATTGGTATCATCTTAAAGCTTGTTCACTCGTCTTTGTTTGGATGAAAAAAATGTCCATTTATTTTGAATACAAGTGGAGATATTTGCGAAAGAAGGAGGTGGGAGTCACCTGTTTTCAGAGGTAAAATAAGTGAGAAAGTGGCGGCCAAAGATTTGTTATTTCCTTAGTTTAAGAGTCCGTGGTAATTGAAAATGTCCATTTTTCGTGCCTTTAATGAACGTTTTTCAGAAAAATCCACTCAGAAATGAGTTCTTTAATGGGCATGAAAGGTGTAGAGCCAAAAAACAAACCAAAAAAATGATAAAAATCCACAAACCTGGGGAAAAATGCAGATTTCTTTAATTTGAATATTTTGACGAGAGCCTGATTCCACCACGCTGCCTCACATATTGTAATAAAAAGAGCAAGAGTGGATTGGGAAGTGTTTTAGACAGGTGATCATTTTGAGCAGGTTCAAATGTATTTTTTTCCTTTTTGTTTTGTCTCTATTTCCGTTTGAAAGTGGGAACTGTCTCGAATAGTAAGTGCTTAACGTGTTTTGAGGATGAAAGTTTAATATATGTGTGAGGCAGCGTGGTGGACTCAGGCTCTCGTCAAAATAATCAAAATGAAGAAACTTGCATTTTTCTGCAGGTTTGTGAACTTTTATTAAATTTTTGTTTTTTGGCTCAACATCTTTCATGCCCATTAAAAAACTCATTTCTGTGTGGATTTTTCTGAAACAGAAAATGTAAATTTTCAGTTACCACGGACTCTTAAGCTAAGGAAATAACTAACCTTTGGCGGTCATTTTCTCACTAATTTTACCCCTGAAATCAGGTGACCCCAACCTCCTTCTTTCGTAAATATCTCGACTTGCATTCAAGATAAATGGATACTTTTTTCATCCAAATAAAGACAAGGGAACAAGCTTTAAGATGATACCAATAACTCTACATGCCCAAAACTTTACGAGAGCCTGATTCCACCACGCTGCCTCACATATTTAGATTTTACAAGACAAAGGTGATTAGTGTTCACCTTGGCATTTTGAAGGAATCCTCATATGTTTTGACGGAAACGTCTTTAGAAAATTTTCGAAGAGAAATGAGAGTAACAACAACAACAACAGTAGGAACACCACAAATTAAGGTTGGACTGCCTCACCCGCTACCCAAGGAAGGCGGTGGCCCTGGCGAAGAGCACACTCTTCGGGGCTCCGAACATTTCGAACGGATAGGCTACCACACACACACAACAACAGTAATGAAAGTTACAATAGAATAGCAACTAAAGGCAATTGAAAAGAACGATATAGCCTTTTGTAGAACCCACAACCGTTTCAGTGGGTTGTTGGTGGGTGCTGTGGTGTGGTTTGCTCCTTCATTCCTATCAAACATCTTTCTTCCTTATATCTCTCCCAACTCTTTTCTTTGCCCGTTACTCTCATGTAACATCTTTAATCTTTTGCACTTAGATGACCTATATGTATTGCAAGTGCTGTAAAACTCTTACTAAGACTATAAGGCAAGTGGGTGGTTGGAGGGCGCCACTGGTAGATCCTACTTCTTTACTTTCCCTCTGTTGTGTCTGTCTGTGTGGGTGGTTGGAGGGCGCCACTGGTAGGTCCTACTTCTTTACTTTCCCTCTGTTGTGTCTGTCTGTGTGGGTGGTTGGAGGGCGCCACTGGTAGGTCCTACTTCTTTACTTTCCCTCTGTTGTGTCTGTCTTACTTTCCCCCTGAACTATAGTGTAGATGTGCTTCTCTTTACTCTAACAAAACAAACAAACTGAAAGGCAATAACCCTTTCCTCCCCCCCC